ACCAGCGAACTTTGCCACAACTTGGCGACGAAACTCCTCAAATTTTTCCTCATAGTAGCCCATGCTAAACTGAGAATACGTAATTGACTTCTAAAGGCAACCATAATGGCAACCTTAGCTTCATCAATCAAGCGATGGGAGCTTTCGACAAAAACCTTCAATTGGTTTGTAAGCTCTCTCACCTTCTATCCACACCTACCTACATCCTTTTTGAAAACCCTTAAGGCTTCCTCCAACCCACTCTTAGAGCCCTCTCGATCGCTATGGAAATCTAGGAGTGTTCTAATTCCGAACGAAGTTGCACTAGTTCCTCCCCCATGAGATAACAACTTCACTTTGGTAGATAGAACATCCTTAAGGGTAGCTTCAAGTTTGTCTTTCCAAGGGTTTTCCTCCATGAAAGCAAAATAGGTCATCTTAGTTGTCAATATAGCAATTTGGTCATGGCAAATGAATCAAATTACTAAATCTAAAAGAACATGGAGCAATGAACGAAAAAGAGAGGTCAGAAGGATCACATATCCCGAGGTAGTGGGCCAACATCTTAGACATCCTAACTGTTCCCAATTTTATCACCACCTAGACTTCAGGACCAGAAACAAAGTCTTGAAACTTCTTCATGGCAAAGTGTAGGTCATTCCAAATATTCTCTAGAGCATCACCATACTTGGCAGTAGAAGGGGGTGTATGAATACCCCCCACAAACTCGGGCACATTAAGCTTTCTTTTAGCAATCTTCTTCCTCTTTTTAATTGCAGACGTATCAAGAAAAGATTCAATGTCTAAGGAGATCATTTTAGTGGAAACGGCAGGAGAAACCTTCGTTATAGGAGATCTGACGAATCTCAATCCTTAACAATGGGTAAAGGAAGACTGGATAAACCTTCAGGCTTGCGTGACCTAAATTCTCTTAGGGATTTTTTGCTAATTTTGGGTGGGAGACCTGCAAAAATACGAAACATATTTAGAAATTATGATCAAGAAACCATGAAACTGAAAGAAAGAAGTTGGCAACCTATTTTTACGGGGCACAATAGCTACAACCACAGCGGACAAAGGTGTTGGACCAAGGCGAAACCTGACGAGGTTGGCATCGGTCACCAAAAGATCAAAATCTTTGACCTTGTTGCTTTAGACCACTTTTAGACTATTTTGAAACTCCTCTGGAAGGGTCATGTTGTCAACTGTGACAAAAGAAAGTGGTTAATCATTTTCTTCATGTGCAAGAAGAAAACCCAATAAACAATAGAAAACTCACCAAATGAGGAAGGCACGGTATCTCATCCAGTAAGAATCCTAGTAGGATTGGCACCAGAAGCTCAGGAGGGCTAAACACACACCCCAAACTAGAAACAAAGAAGAAACAATCTTTTCATTCCTTCGGAGGAGAAGGAAACTTAGTTAGAAGATCAACACTCAAATAGTATTAACCATAGCTCGGAATAGTGCTAACTTTAACTTGTAAAGAATTCAGAACCTCCCCACAGATAGAAGCACACTAGTACCAAGGGCGAAGCCCCAAAAAACACCCAGACTTATCAATATCCTCCAGTTATTGGGGGTAAGCTGGGTAAGAGCAATGTTGAGGAAAGACAAAAAAATTTTAATAAAGGGATGGCTAGGAAACCTGAGCCTTGAGATCAGGGCAACCTCATAAAAGCAAACATCGCCTTCGAGGGAATCGCAAGCTCTTTCATCATTCTTAGGAACTCTTATATGATTAGAGTTTAGAATGGAGAATTGAGTCCTAATTCTCTTAAAATCTTTTTATGTGATGCTGCTACAGACCCTTTTGCATAAAACTCAAGTTGTGTGGATTGCTCTGCGAGGAGATCCTCCAAGAAAGCCTTTGTATCCTCATTTGCAAGGTCCGCCTCGCAAACCAGAGGTAGGATGTATTCAGAGGAAGTTTCCTCATAAGCCATGAATTAGAGTGGAGAAGGAATAAATCAATTAGAAAATTGAGAAAGATTCGAGCAAAATTTAGAAATCTTTGTGAAAGAGAGAGCGGATTAGGGATTCAAGAAAAACCCTAAGTTCTTCAAAGATGATTTTCACTAAAGAAAACAAAATTTGTAGAAGAAAAACTAGAAAAGGAGAGTGCAACCGAAGTATTCTAGAATTCAAGATTCAAGGTAGCTAATGCAAAATTCAAAGTCGCAAAGAATAGGAAGGAGATTTCAAAGCTTAGTGAAACAGTAACGTTAGACTGACCAAATTTTAGCACCAAATTTAGAGTCCAAATGACATGACAGTTGACTTGGGCTTTTTTTATTAGTGTCATGTCATTTAGGCCCCAATAAAAACTTCAAATAATCAACTGTCATGTCATTTGGACTCTAAACTTGATCTTAAAATTTGGTCAGTGTAGCATTACTCTTAGTGAAATCTTGAACTAGAGCTTTAGAGGGTTTAAATAGCCTAGGAAATGATGGTTACAAAAACTGCCTCATTTAAACCAACGAGATTTTCCCAGGTAAGCCAATTTCGTCTCCCAAAGAGGTAACAAACAAAAAAAAAAAAGGAAGTACGGTGCACGATCCAGCCACGTTGGACAGACCTGATTATGGACACTTGATGAGTGAAAAATTAGTTGCACCATTGGGAACAAGTTGTGTTCAAAAAAGTTACAATTGGGAAGTTTGTTGACCTCCGGAGTGAATAGGGAAAATTCATAGCTACGGCAATCCTAGTAATCAGTTTTACCCCACCTGACTGACTCAAGATTTGGAGTTAGAAGATGGAGTTATGCTATATTTGAAAATCGAAAGACCTCTAAAACTAAATTAGCAGCCTAAACTAGGAGTGAAAAGATTTGAGATCCCTCATCCCAGAGGAGTCTTAACCTTCTTATCACTAAGTTAAAAAACTCCTTAAGCGACATAAGTCTTGTCCGCCTACAATAATGATACGGGAGTCCAAACTCCTCAAGAAAGAGTCTGATCCCTCCACGGTGGATAAGAGAGGCTAAATTCTACTCCCTTATAAAAACTAATGTTTAAAATATAAAAAGGAGGTCAGGGAAAATGTTAAAAGTACATAACTCTATTCCTAAACACTATCAAAAAATTATTTTATTTTTTGATACCATATTCTAACCCATCTGTCCCATTGATTCCACGCAATCATTCTTAGATCGTTTGGCTACAACCCACATGCACTAATCAAGATTCAAGTGTTATCATTTTGGGATATTCGATCACTACAATGTTAGCATTCAAACTATTCCGACAAATTTAGACTTTGGGTTAACAGTCTTTTATGCAATGTAAACTCTTATGTATGTAATCACTCGCAAGATCATGTGTTTCGATAAATCTTTGACCTTAAGCAGCTAATAAGACTTGACAAATGCCTCACTCCTTGTTCTATCATTAAATAAAACCATGCACCTTCATGAAGCACCATTTCACTGTAAACAAACAAGGGACTCTTCCCCTCCCCCCCCCCCCCCCCCCCTTTTT